GCTTCCGGCCGGAAGGGGCTGGGAAGCCGGGGAGGAAGGCTGAAGGAAGTCCCGCCTCTGCCCGGCTGGAGCGGCGGTCGTCGCCGCCTCGCACCTGGCGCTGTCCGCAGGGGCGGCCGGTGAGGGCTCGGGCCCGACTCTCCCGGCTCCCACCGCGCGAGGTCCCCAGCCTGGGGGCTCGAGGTGACGGCGGCCATGGCTAGGGCTGGGACGTGGAACCTAGAGGGAAGGGGGCGGAGGCCGGCCCGGGCTCGCTGGGGGCGGGAGGGTAAGCCGGCGCGAGGGCCGGGTGGGCGTGGGGCGGGGGCGCAAAGTCGGGGACCCAGAGCGTTGCCCTCCCTCAGGCCGGACCGAGTCAACTCCTGTCCTCCTCCCACACCCTAAATCGGCGCTTTCTTTTTGGCTCTTTGGCTGCTCTCCTTCCTCAGCCTCAGGCTCCCCTCAGACCCTTTCCCTGCCGTGGTACTGACCTCTGACCACACCCCACCCCCCCCTTGGTTTCTTCTAGGTCTTATTCGGGAGCAGCCATGATTGAAGTGGTGGCAGAGCTGAGTCGGGGTCCTGTGTTTCTGGCTGGGGAGGCACTGGAGTGTGTGGTGACAGTCACCAATCCCTTGCCCCCCACTGCCACTTCTGCATCCAGGTGGGGATGCTGGTACTGAAGAAAGTGGCCCTTCTAGAAGCCTCGTATCTATAGTGCTAAGCCAGAGCGCAGGTTGTCCTGTAAGCTACACCATCACCTCTTGTAGGAAAGGGCTAGGTAACAGAAGATATGGTTGATAAAACCCTCCACTTGTCTTTCCCCGTGTCCTCCCCAGTCACTTCCCTCCCAAGACATACTTCCCTGTATAGTGGTTTCTCTTTAGGGTTTTGCATTCCCTGATCGCCAGACAGCAACTTCACTTGTGCTGGTTTCAGACAGTATGACAGGGAGTTTGACAGCACTTGTGAGGTCAAAAACTGCCCTTTGATGCCTCCTTTTCTTCCTCCCCTAGTGAGGCTCTGGCCTGGGCCAGTGCCCAGATTCATTGCCAGTTCCACGCCAGTGAGAGTCGCGTAGCACTGCCTCCCCCTGACTCCAGTCAGCCAGATGTCCAGCCTGAGAGCCAGACTGTCTTTCTACCACACCGAGGTTAGAGATGCAGCATTTGCCTTGAAGGGAGATGGAGACATTATCATCTAAGGGTGAAGTTGCTAAGTTGGTCTGGTGGGTCATATTACTTTGGGAATGTGGGGACATGTAATTATTGCTTTGGGGGTATGAGATTGTTTCTATCTTGGAAGTAGAAAAGAAGGGTAGCTGGGTTTGGGCTGCTCTTTATTGGCAGTTCTTAGTGTCCCTTCTTGCTGTGCTAGCCTCGTCCAGTGCTGGACAACAGCATCATTAAATTGCAGTCTTAACCCTTCTTCAGGTGAGAGAGGTCAGTGTATCCTGTCCACACCACCAAAGATCCTATTCTGTGACTTGAGGCTAGACCCTGGAGAGTCCAAATCATGTGAGTGACTCTCTGCATCCCTGAATTGGCTTGTACAGGGGGCTCCTGGAAGGAGGACTTCTCTGCCCTCCAGCCTTGAGTCACCCTAAACATTGCTTCCCAACCAGACTCCTACAGTGAAGTGCTGCCCATTGAGGGACCACCCTCTTTTCGGGGTCAGTCAGTCAAGTATGTCTACAAACTGACCATTGGCTGCCAGCGTGTCAACTCGCCCATCACTTTACTCAGGGTGCCTCTGAGGGTCCTGGTGCTGACTGGTAAGTGCTGGCTCCTGGGGGGAAGCAGAAGTCATTGTGAGACAGCGTGTGAGAGGGGCTGGTGAGAAGTTTCCTTTTCTGAGTGAGCATGCAAGAGAATTGGGGAAAAGGGAAGGTTCTGGAGAATAGGTTGAGAAGCATTTTTTCAGCTTGTAGCTCCCCTTTCCTTTAGCCTTCTCAGGTTGGAGGCTTAAAACCTTAAGCCCTTACTCATCTCTGTTTCCTACCAGCACTGCCTTTCCACTCATTCTCCCTCTAGGCCTTCAAGATGTCCGCTTTCCTCAGGATGAGGCTGTCGCCCCATCCAGTCCATTCTTGGAGGAGGATGAAGGTGGGAAGAAGGACTCGTGGCTAGCTGAGCTGGCTGGGGAGCGCCTCATGGCTGCCACATCCTGCCGCAGCCTCCGTGAGAATCCTTTCTTCGTGCCTCCCTCTTTCTCCCTCCCACCCCCACAGTATTCTTGTTCCCTTCAGATTTTCCTAACTGCCACGGATTTCTGAGGATTCACTATCTCACCTTAGATTAGAGAGAAAAGTCCTACCTTTGGACTTTTGGATCTTAACACTCTCCCATCCTTCCCCAGATCTGTACAACATCAGTGATGGCCGAGGAAAAGTTGGGACATTTGGCATCTTCAAATCTGTATACAGACTTGGCGAGGACGTGGTGGGGACCTTAAACTTAGGGGAAGGAACTGTAGCTTGTTTGCAGGTGAGAAGGGAGAGAGGCTTTGAGGCACTGGGCCTGAAGGGCTGGGGTAGAAGGAGGGAAAGGGCTTGCATAAAGGGATATGTAGCTGGAGACAGAGGGGTTGCTTAGCATCCCTTGGGTATTGCAGCTTGAGTGGGACTGCGCTCTTACTTCCCAGTGCCTGCTAGCGGGCATTTCTCTTCTTGCTCCCAGTTTTCAGTAAGCCTGCAGACCGAGGAGCGCGTACAGCCTGAGTACCAGCGACGCCGTGGGGCAGGCGGTGCTCCTTCAGTGTCCCACGTGACACACGCCCGGCACCAGGAGTCCTGCCTGCACACAACCAGAACCAGCTTCTCCCTCCCCATCCCTCTCAGCTCCACCCCAGGCTTCTGCACTGCTGTCGGTGAGACCCTGAACATCACTGGGGGTGGGGTGGGGGGTGGGGTGGAGGGCAGGCAGCAGAGTAAAATACTATGTTTAGGTGAGGGTAGGTTCCAGCACACTTCTAGACATACCCAGGGCCCCCTTTTCTCATACTTTCAACATCTGACCATTTCCTAGATCCCTTGACCCCTAAACTCTTAACAGCTTTGCAGCTCTCTTTCCCTACCCCTACCTCCTTGAAACCAAATAGCATCTGATTACCCTGAATACTTAATTCAAGCAACCAAAACTTTGATTGTCCTACACGTGGATTATCAGGCACCTGACACCACTAGTCATATTGTCAAGTTTTTGGTTAACACAATAGCGTTCCTCAGAGAAACCATCGATCTTAGCTCCCTGCTGTGATTTCTCGCCCTCTTCTGAATATAGGGTCTTTTGTCATTTGCTAACCTTGTCTTATCGCCATCTCTGATTTTAATCTTTTCTACCACAGTTTCACTGAAGTGGCGACTACATTTTGAATTTGTAACATCTCGAGAACCAGGTTTGGTGCTCCTGCCTCCCATGGAACAGCCCGAGCCGGTCACCTGGACAGGACCTGAACAAGTGCCTGTAGACACCTTCAGTTGGGACCTTCCCATTAAGGTGCTGCCTACGAGCCCTACCCTGGCCTCATATGCAGCCCCAGGCCCCAGCACCAGCTCCATAACCATCTAAAACTGGCCCACTGTGGCATGACTTTCTTCAGGACACTAAGAACTTGGCACCTGGACTCTAGTAGGGCCCACTTTTCCCACCTGTGGTTCAGTGGCATGGACAGTGAGAGACAGGCTTTCCGCTGGAGCATTAATTTATTTATTCAGAATAAATTGGCAGCTGCTTAGTGGTTTCCCTGGAAGTGGCAGCAGCAGTGGGCAGTCAACAGAAGGCTTTAGCTGGAGTGGGGAGCAGGAGCCCCAGGAACAGGGGTGTTTGCTGAACCCCACTCTGGATCAGGCCCACCCCCTTTGCAGGGAAGCCGAGGATCGGATTTTTGCACCAGGGAGAACCGGCAGGTCCCTGCCTCCTGACGGACCTCACACTCAGCTGGATAGTCGATGGGATGCTGGGATCTGGGAAACCAAAGGAGAAGGAGTCAGCATGTGAAAGTCCACTGTCCCTGCCCACTTCACTCTCCCCAGTCTTCCTCTCATCTTCCTCTAGTCCCCCTGTGACTCCCCAACCTAAGCTCTCATCTACCACTTAGAGATTTTTTTTCTATTTAGTAGCAGGCATATTTTCCCTCCACACCCATCCCTTTCCCCTCACTCTAGCCCGAAGCCTTATCTCACACTCTGTGGGTACCTTCAGCAGTTCATTCATGCTCCTATCAGAATAATCTAGTCCTTCCCTGGCCGTCCCTCCATCACTCATGCAGAGCCATTATATCTGATGTCCTGGGTCACTCACATGTCACAGCAGCCCACACCGACAGGATGCAGACAGGTGCAGTGGAAACAGTCCTTGCGGAGCCAAGACTCACCCAGGGTGTAATACTTCCCCTCATAGTGGCAGGGGGCTAGGGAAGAACAGGAAATGTTAGTGGGGAGGGGGTGGGGGTAGCAGTGGTGGCAAACAAAACCCCATTATTTCTAAGCTCGAAGAAGAAGCCTGCGAAGAAGCACAACATCCTCTCCGAGCCCTCTCCCTCCCAACTCCCACTGTCCTTATCCTGTCCTAGCTTCTCACCCACCTTTACCTTGAGCTTGGAAGTAGCACTTGCTGTGAACGCCTGGGTACTGGAGGAGCAGCGATATCACCAAGCAGACTGTCCCCCAGCCTCCCAGGGTCCCCTTAACCTGTCCAGCCCAGGGCATTCCTAGGGCCATCCCTGCAGCACAGCCCTCGTGGCCCTCGTTGGCTTCTGTGTAGGCTACTCTGGTCTTGTCTCTTTGGCTCTTCTTTATTTCTTTCCTTGAGGCGCTCAGATTCTGCGTTTCTCCCCTGGGCTTCTGTCTCACACCATCTCAGTGCCCTCTGCTTTCACAGGCTTGGGGATGTTTATAAAGTGAGGACCCTGGCCCCCTGCTGAGTAGAGCTGGAAAAGCTGTAACTGTGTTTCCTGAGGTGAGGGCATGAAAACAAGAGGTCTAGCTTTAACAAGCTGTGAGAGCTGATTCATGCCCCAGCATAGCTAGGGGGAGGGAGGTGACCGTGGAAGGGGCACTGGACTGGGCATTTGCCCAGCAAGGAGGTGGGAGGGATGAGGGCCCCCAGGTGGTCCCCAGATCTCTTCCCTGACCTGGAGAGAAGGAAGCATTCCACCCTCACCCCCCCAACATATACACACTTGAGGGGTGTGTGTGTTGGGATCCCTGCCTGGACCGGAGGGAGGCATTTCCTGGGGATGGCTAATCCTGTGCCCTAGCCAAACCGAAGAGCTGCCGGTGGGTGCGACGGCCAGAGGCTCCCGGAGAGTGAATAGGCACCTGGAGCTGAGAATGTTGCTCTCAGAACCTAGAGTGGTGTCTTCCTGAAGTGGCTGCCCCTCAGATGGGCAAGTCTCCACAGGGATCCTGGAGATGGATTGTCCTGCATTCCTCCAAACACGGCAGATACAGATCTCTCTAGGGGTGCTACTTTTAAAAAGGGGCATCTATATGTGCCCTCATGCCATTAGTCAAGTGCCCTCTCTTCTCCTGTATGTTTTGGAATGAGGTTCTTGGAATTGAACCTCTGACATATCTTCTGGGTTTCCTGTATGTTCTGGAAAACCCCAAGATGGGTGTAGTGTCAGGCTACTTGGATTTAGATCCTGACTCCACATATTAGCTATGTGATCTTGGGCAAGTCACTTCACCTCTGTAAACCTGTTTCCTTATCTACAAATTGGGATAGTAATACTAACTCATAGGGTTGTTATGTGAACTAGGTGACATAATGCCTGTGATGTTCTTAGCCCCATCCCTTGGCACACAGCATGTTTCTTTTCCTTCAGAAAATAGCTGCTACTGTGCTGGGGGTTAGAACTGAGAGAGAAACTTTGGGCAGCTCCATGGGCACAGCTGAGGCTTTTGCTGGGCTGCTGTCTGCTGGCGTAGTCGTCTGCCTCTTGCTCTCATGTTCCATGTCCTGCCTGAGGGAACAATTGGGTTTAGTCTTCATATCCTTGAAACTTTCAGTGTCTGGCTTGAGACAGTGTTGCTTATACACTTGCTTTCTCGAGTGAGTACCCTTCCTTCTTAAGGAAGAAGTAGCATTTTCATCACTTGTACAGCTTTACAATTTTCTTTTTCTCATTAGGTTTCTGATGTATTCTTCCCACCTCACTCAAGTGAAGTCTTGAGTTCTCTCTTTTTTTTTTAAAGATTTATTTATTTGTGCATACAGAACTGGGGTACAGGCCAGAGGCTCAGGGGTGGCGAGAGGCTTCACCAGAGACAGAGTGGGGAGCAGAACATGCAGACATGCAGATCAACGAAGTACACTGCTGAGGGGAGCAGCGGGCGGGTCAGGAGAGGTCTGCCGCGCCATGTGGTCACCTCCGGGCCAGGCGGGGATCTTTGGTACTGCAGACCCTTGGTCAAACTGAAGTTCCTTTTCTTTCTTTTTTCTTTTCTTTCTTACACTTCAAAGACTTCTGTTTCAGCTATTGCCCTCCTGACTTGTAGGACCAGTCACCCTTGCAGACTCTATGACTCCTGCTTATTTCCTGGTGAGCAAATTGAACAACTGACTTTCAGAGGGCTGCCCTGCCCCTCTCCTCACTGTTCAGAAACAATCATTTCACCTCCAACTCCTAATCTGTCCTCTTCCAAAAAGACAGGGTGAATGGAGGAGGGAGATGCAGAACACATCATATATATTCACCCTTGTCAGATCTGATACCCCTTCTATTTCAAGAAAGTGCGAAGAGCAAAAAGAAAAGTTAAGACATGGTGCCCTGGTACAGGTTGGTGTGAGGGTGACGTGGCCTTGGACTGATCTCTCAGCAAGAGAAGTTGGATTTGACTAGGACCCAGAAGTTGTGCCAGTGGCCAGCTGTGCTGCTGCCTGGCTAGGGGTCCAGCTGATCCCTGGAAGGTTGCACCCTAGAAGGCTAGACCACAGATCACCCTTATGCTTTGGTAACCTGGAGTCAAGCCAAAGGGAGGGCGAACATGAGTGGGGAGCTAGAGAACATGAAGGCAGTAGTGATGCTAGAAGACAGTGTGTTCAGTGAGGGTTGGTGTATGAGGCAATGGGGTCAGAAAGAACTGAGGTTTTCTGTAGTGAAGATTAGATAACTGATAGGGGTAGGAGTTGGGTACTTCTGGAAAGAAAGCCATGGCCCAGAAGTTGTGAGGTTGCAGAGTGTTTGAACCTCCTTGCCTGGCTGCTGGTGTGTAGCTTGGGGAAAGAGGCTGCACTTACTTGTGTGGTGGGGTCAGTAATTAGGGCCCAGTTCCGGTATTCAAGAGCCAGCGGCCCTAGGTTGCCAATAGTGGGGGGTGGGGGAGGTGAGGGAGTTGAGGCGCTTGGCCTGGACACCGCCCGGAGGGGAAGGTTGGCGGGCTCGGCCTGAGCGGGACCGAGAAAACATCCGCTATCCGCCGGAGGCCCAACTGGGCGGCACTCCAGCAGCGGCAGGCAGGTGCGCTCGGAGGAAGTGAGCGCATTCCGGCCCAGCGTGTGGCCCTGGTGAGTCACCATAGACCCCCCACTCCCACCCCCACCCCTAAGGAGGGACTGGAGGGACCTGCCCCTGTGGGCAGATTAGGGACCAAATCGAGGGGTGGCTGGGCGGGGGCCACCCGGTATGATCCCCAAAGCGTGCCTGAGAGAGACTAAAGGTGGAGAGTCATGTTTTGACCCAGACACCAAACAAGAAGAAGTTTGATGAAGCACACACTGGAAGTGAGCCCCTGGGAAAACCTATGGGGCAGGAAGAAAATAATATAGCGGGGAGGAGAATGGAGCTTGGGGCAAAAGAGTGAGGTGAGGGGACCCAGACCAGCAGAGGAGTGTGAGCAGAAACACAGGGACTGCGGTTTTGGGGGTCTTTAGATGGATACCAGATAAGAAAGTGGACCCCAGAAATAAGACCTGCCCAGGGATTATCTGGGAACAATTTGTGGCTAGGTTATTAAGGCTTTGGATGGTGTGAGTTTGGATTTGGTTGATCAGGAAAAGTAATAGGTGACTTCAAAGCAAGAATATCTGTGTCTAGCATTATTGTCAGCAGTTTAACCTCTGTCAAAAAAAAAAAAAGACATCTCTCTTTTTTTTTAAGATTTATTTATTTATGCATACAGAAATGGGATACAACCAGAGGTGCAAGGACAGTGAGAGGATTCACTAGAGACAGAGCTGGGAGCAGAACAGGCAAATGGACAAGGTACACTGCTGAGGGGAGCAGCGGGCGAGACAGGAGAGGTCTGCTGCCCCACGTGGGTCACCTCAGGGCGGGGATCAAACTGGCACTGAAGCTGCCACTGCTCTGGCTTAGCTCCACAGTGCAGTGCTCTAAACTGCTGCGCCACCAGGGAGGGTCCCATCTCATTTTTATAGTCATTTAAAATGTTTGTGTGGCTACATATGCCAAAAAATTTACTTTTGTTGATTTTTTAAAATAAAAGTTAAACATTTTGATTCTGTATTTGATATCAAACCCTGAGTGAGTTTAGTTAAGTGGCGTTGGGTCCCGATTGTCTCCCTGCTGTGCCATCTCCCCCTCACGGACCTGATTGAATTCTGTTAATGTCTCCTTAGTTCTTTTGGCTCTGGAGCCTACATAACATACTTAGTTTTCCTTTCCCTCATTTTCTGGTCTTTATTCTTAATCTTTTTTTCTGTGCAGCCTGGAGCCTGCCCTAATTATCCTGAACCAAGTAAGACATTTCTTGCGATGGGGCACTGGACACAGTATGCAAAAAAGTAACAAGCTTTTACTTGTTAAGCTACTTACTGTCTTCTGTAATTACTAGGTAACTATAAAATTCCTGTAGTTATCCCATGGATGATAAACAGAGGAAGCTGAGCTCATCCATTCACGATAAGCATTTCTACAACACAGCAATTTGAGTGGTTTCTCTTTAAAACCAACTCTAAAATAGTATTTGACACTTGTCTCAGAAGCATGATAATGCTCTCATAATCTTTATGTTCCTTTAGATTGAAGATAATTGGAAGGACTAGGATATTTTAAAATTATTTTGGTCCCAAATGAGAAAATCTGTACCAGTTAACTAAGATTTTTCCTTTGAGCCCTGTTGCTTTCTCTTGTGCTGTGTCAGCCCCACCCCTACCTTATTCCCAGTGGCCTTTGCTATTATTCCTTCTTTGCTCTGCTGGGCATCTTTAGAGGAAAACTTCACACCAACTTCCTCTACTATAAATTCTCGCCCTCCTCTCAACTCTATACTTCACCTTGCCAACATCCACTGCTACACTAATTTTTTTTTTAAGCCCACAGCCCTTTCTGGCTCTTTTCTGTATTTAGTACTCTCTCACTGAAATCTCCTTTTTCCTTCTTTCTCTTGGGTAAAACCACACTAGGCTTTATTCTATATGATACACTTCTGTCTTCCTCTTCTATCAAATTATTATTATTCTAAACCATTACGCTTACTTTCATTAAGACTTCAGCCTTCCCCTTGTGATTAAACTTTTCCCCTCTAGAAACATGCCCATGTTTCTATTATTTATTCCTATGAGAAAAAAGCCTTCAAATTCATGTTTATGTCAGTCTCCCAACATTCTGCATCCAGAGTATGACATGGCCATTTTAGTAAAGTTCTTCTAGTGCCACTAGGCTTGGTGCTGTGTTAGGTACAGTCTAGTGAGTTTATAATCCTAGTTCCAGATTCTTATGTGCTTGCCAATAGTAGCTGTTGTCCTGTGTGTTGCATGAATGTTCTCATGTATGCACATGCACAAAAAATAGAATTACAAGTGAATATATGAATATGTCATATATTACATTATAATCCAGCCAGATTTTGGTGTAGAAGTTGAGGTGGTTCAATTCATAGGTAGGATAGAAGTTGAACAGCATCAGTACTCCCTGGTGGTGCAACAGGTTAAAGGGTCACACTGCGCAGCTGGCCATGGCCTGCTTAGGTGCATGTTTGATCCCTGCTCCTAGGTGACCCACATGGTGCAGCAGAATTCTGACCTGCCTGCTGCTCCCCTCAGCAGTGTACTTCCTCAATCTACCTGTTCTGCTCCCCACTCTGTCTCTGGAGAATCCTCTACCGCCCCTGTACCTCTGGCCTGTACCCCAGTTATGTATACATAAATAAATAAATCTTTAAAAAAATAAAAAGGAATTGTATTCAGATTGGAAAGAAAGATTCATCACTGTGAAGACAGACACTGAGTTTTAAGAATAAAGAAGACTTACAAGGCTGTGGTGAATAGTAGGAGGATGGATGGAGAGACCAGAGTCCCAAAGACATATAATTGCTATTCACAAGTAGTCCAGAAAGCATGAAAATCCTCTGGTTATACAGATTTTGACTATATTCAAGCTTCCATTAAATAGTCTATATTGGAGTTTTCCTACCCCATTTCTGCATTATTAGAACCATTCTTACCACTATTTTAAAAAGTTTTTTCTGCTTGCAGATTGCATTCATGTAACTTCCCCCACAATAACTACTCCCCAACTAATCATTAATTTGGACTAAATTTCTTAATCCTCTGTTTCCCTTTATGCTTTAATTTTGCCTGCCATCCCTGCAATCTACTCATGGTAAATGACTTTTACAATTCCATTTAAGGCTCCCATTGCTATTTGTAAATTGCTCCTTTGTTAAAATGATAGACTCAAAGTTAGATACTCAGAAAGCATCTACTTCTTCTTCCTCTCTGAAAGCTGGTCATGTACCTCTGCTTGACTGTCTCTACTAAATGGAATGGGTTACTTCCTGACAGACGGGTGGAAGTACCTTTAGCTACCTTGAGTTACCAGAGTTAAGTGAAATCTGCCTTGCAATATCACATCTCATTCCCCCTTCCCTTAATTCTATTCTTTGAAACAATATGGAAGAAATACACTTTTTTCAAAGTGGTAGCTCTTTAAAGATCTGAAAAGTTTTGTTATTTTTTTTTTTTAGTTAGCTGTTTGTCTAAGCTTTTCTCTTTACTTCAGAACTGTTCAATAGGTTGTGAAAATGGAAATGTACTCTACCTGTTTTTTCT